ACTAAATATTTATGAAATACAGTTCATAAATAGCAGATTCTTTAATAAAAGATGTAATAACCAATACTTCAAAGCAATATACACCCACCTTAAACAAAGAATCCTGATTCTGAATTCTCTTCTTCTTTTCTGGCAATTCGTATGATTCATAAAGAAAAACTTCCAAATATAGAGTGTGTAAAAACCTTTCATCTAACTCAAACTTTCTATATATAACACTAAGGGAAAAAATGGTGGGCGGCACACCCAGCCGACGTTCCCCCCCCCCCCTTTTTAAATTTTTTCCCAATATTCACATAAACATAACATACACACACACACACATATATATATATATATATATATATGTTATAGAAAATCTTAAATCAAAACTTGAAACCTGAATTTTACACTTGTCCCTCTTCTCAGGCTTAGTGAAGACATTTGCTGACTCTATGTCTTCAACGTCAGTGGTTGTTTCTTCGAATCCCACTATAGCCTCTTCTTCTGGCTCAGTGAAGAAATTTGTTGACTCTGAGTCTTTAGCTTCAGTGGATGTTGCCTCTAACTCTGCAGGACCCAAAAGAAATGGGTACCAAAGCAATTTTAATGCGTTTTCATGTGCAGAAAGTCAAAGGCATTTGGTATCTTGATAGTGGATGCTCGAGACACATGACTGGAGACAAATCCTAGCTCATTGACTACAAGGATGAGAGAGGCCCATCTATAACCTTTGGAGGAAACGAAAAAGGATATACCAAGGTCTTTGGTATATTAACCGACGGTGAAACTACATCCAAACGTGTTGCATATGTTGAAGGACTGAAGCACAATCTTCTTAGCATCAGTCAGCTGTGTGACAAAGATTTCATAGTAAAATTTTTTGAAGAATTCAGGCTATATCTTCGACAAGGATGATAAGGTTTCTCTAACTGGTTCTCGCCTAGAGAATGTATAATCATTAACATGGATTCTTCTCTAACTGAGAACAACTGTTTTCTTTCTAAAGCCTTGCCTGACATCAACTGGTTATGGCACAAACGACTTTCACATCTCAACTTTAAGACACTAAGTGAGCTATCTTGAAATGATCTCGTCACTAGTCTTCCTCAACACATATTTGCAAAGGAATCTCTTTGCTCAGCTTGCGAGAAAGGAAAATAGACAAGGGCTAGCTTCAAGTCTAAGAAAGTCTCTTCAGTGACCTCTCCACTTCAGTTATTGCACATGGATCTCTTTGGTCCAGTCAACATGCAATCAATAGATGAAAAGAAATATACACTTTGTCATTGTTGATGAGTATTCTAGGTACACTTGGGTCTTCTTTTTCAGATCCAAAAGTGATGCACCTGATGAAATTATCTCATTCATCAAACGCATATAAGTATGGTACTGAATTCAAAAGAGTACTATGGATAGCTTCTTTGAGAACAAAGGAATCTTTCACAACTTCTCATCTGTGAGAACTCCACAACAAAATGGAGTCACTGAAAGAAGAAATCGAACAATCATTGAGGCTACTCGATCCATGCTCAACAAGTCCCATACCTTACTCAATTTTGGGCTAAAGTTGTCAACACTACTTGCTTTACTCAAAACCAGTCGCTGATCGTTTAGAGATTCAAGAAGACAGTTTACAAAATCTTCCATAGAAGAAAGCCTTCTCTCAGTTTTCTTCATATATTTGGTTGCACCTGTTACATTCTCAACAACCATGACCAACTTGGAAAGTTCGATCCCATAGCTAATGAAGGAATCTTTCTTGGATATTCTTCAGTATCCAAAGCCATAGAAGAAATAATCCATGTCACCTTTGATGAATCTCAACCATCTAACTATAAACCCATCATTGATGATGATGAAGAGTTAGAAAGATGGTTGTTCTTTCATTTTGGACAACCTGAAAATTCCTTCAGCAATCAAGCCAATGCTAATACTCTAGAAGTTGATGATGATTCGCTTATCATCCTAGTTGCAACTAATAACCAAGGCGAATCCTCTTCATAGATTGTTGCAGTGCCCATTAGTTGCATTTCTCTCTCTAATTCAAACACTGACCCATCAGCATATGAAATGCCTTCAGCATCTGAACCTCTATCAGTCGTTGAATCTCTCTCTAAGGCTCCTTTAGCAGTTCAACCTATTTCTGAAGAATCTGTAGCTGAAGCCTCATCTTCTCTATCTATACATCAATAATCAGATAATAATCCTCTTCCAGCTCAATGATGGACAAAAGACCATCCAATTCATCAAATACTTGGTGATCCAAGTGTAGGTATTCAGACACGTCGTGGTCTAGGTAATATCTATCTTGTTGTCAACTTTTTTTCTCTAGTTGAACCCAAGAAAGGCTATCTCAGACCCTACCTGGGTAATTTCCATGCAAGAGGAACTCATTGAGTTTGATACGAATAAAGTCTGGTACCTTGTCCCACGTTCATCTGACAAAACTGTGATAGGCACCAATTGGGTTTATCGCAGTAAGTTAGATGAACAAGGTGTTGTAACCCGTAACAAGGCTCGTCTTGTTGCTCAGGGTTATAGACAAGAAGAAGAAATCGATTATGATAAAACCTTCGCACCAATGGCTAGACTCGAAGTTATTCGACTCTTTCTAGCCTTTGTTGCCCATAGAAACTTTAAAGTGTTCCAAATGGATGTAAAGAGTGCTTTCCCTAATGGAATACTGCAAGAGGAAGTTCATGTTGAACAACCTCCAGGGTTTCTTGACGCTAAGTATCCAAAATCATTTCTATAGATTGGACAAAGCTATTTACGGGTTAAAACAGGCCCCTCGTGCCTGGTATGATACCCTATCCTCATTTCTCATCTCTGACGTAGAAGGATTGACCATACCTTATTTCTTAGGAAAGTTAAAGGTCACATCATTCTTGTCCAAATTTATATCGATGATATTATTTTTGGTTCCACTAATCCCTCTTTATGTTTTCGGTTCGCTGATCACATGAAGAAAAAATATCATATGAGTATGATGGTGGAACTAACCTACTTACTAGGTCTCTAGTTCAAGCAATCAGATAAAGGTATCTTTATCAGTCAGAGTAAGTATGTCAAGGATATGCTAAAAAAGATTGATTTATCCAACAGCTCATCTGTGAAGACTCTGATGGCTCCTTCTCTCTCATTGAACAAGGATCAAAACGAAAAGCCTATAAACGTTGCTATTTGTAGAGGAATAATTGAATCTCTATTGTATCTCACAACAAGTCATCCAAATATCATGTACTCTACCTGTCTATGTGCACGATATCTACCTGAGCCTAAGGAATCCCATCTGATTGCTGTAAAATGCATATTCAGATATCTGAAGGGAACTCCTAACTTGGGTCTTTGGTATCCCAAGGGTTCAGGATTTGACCTAATAGGTTACTTGGATAGTGATTTTGCAGGATGCAAAATTGATAGGAAAAACATCACTGGAGGCTGTCAGCTTCTAGCTGGAAAGTTGGTTAGTTGAACAAGTAAAAAGCAAAATTTTGTATCCACATCAACTGCTGAAGCTGAATATGTTGCTGTTGGAAGTTGCTATGCGCAAGTTCTTTGGATGAAAAACCAGCTCAACGACTATGATCTACAGCTTTCCAAGATCCCTATCTATTGCGATAGCACCAGTGCTATTGCTATTGCAAACAATCTTGTTCTTCACTCCAAGACCAAACATATTGAGATCAGATATCATTTTATCAGAGATTATGTTATGAATGGTAATATTGAACTTCACTATATTCCAACTCGCTGACCTTTTTACAAAGTCTCTTGATGAGACAAGATTTAATATCTTGATCAGCAAACTTGGAATGCTGAACATTGAGGATTAACTCCTTCAACTATAAGCATTACTCAGTAAGTGAAATGATTCAGTGTTCATATTCTATCATTGAACTCTTGAGTAAATATATCTTCTCTCTCTAAGGTATGTATACTTATCCCTCTCTTCAAAACTTAGAACTATCACTTAATCTTTCCATATTCAGTGACCAAACTATTTTTAAAGATTGTTTCAGTGTGCCTTCTATCACTGAACTTTTTAAGCAAGTGTGTCTTTAAGATATACTTATCTTATCTTAAAAAAAAACCATCACTGAACCTTTTATTAATCAGTGATAAATGTTTTAAAAGTTAAAATTCCTTCAGTGATTCTTCTTATCACTGAACTTTTTAAACTTATCTTTTCAAAAAGATATATTCTTAAAAACTCATACTGATTATTCATATTCAGTATCTCATATGTTTTTTTTAAAGAAATTGAACTTTTTTGTTTAAAAGAAAATGAAAAATGAAATGTCTTCTGACGTAATTTCGTTTTAATGATATGATCCAATCGTGGATGAGGACATGCTAACTTTTTCATCATTGCACAACTTTTAAGTCATATTTTCCTCTCTCCTCTTTCCATTTCTCTCTCCTCCTACCTGTAAATATGAGACCTATTCTCTCATTTTTCTTTATGCTTACAAAAATTATTGTCGAACCTCTGCTTCTAAGACTTTTGCAAGCAAGAACCCAAAGAACACTAAAAAACCTTCAACCTTCTTCTTCTAAAAATCACAGGTTAATAACTCTTTTCTTCTTATTTTGATCTGTTCTTCTTCTAAGAAACTCTTTTTATGTCATTTAAAAACTTGTTCTCTTAAACAACTAACATAAAGATTATTAACACATTCTAATACTTGGTTATAATTTAAGTTTCTATACACTTATTCTTCTTGAAAAACCTTAAATCTTATTGTGGATTTTTCAGAAGAAGTTTTATCGATTCAAAACTTGGAGTTTAGAATTTTATTTTATGGATTACTAACAAACTTTTTATATTCTGTTTTCTCTTATAAGTCACAGAAATGTCTTCCAAGAACGTAAACTTTACTATTGATGAAGTGTCTTTCAAGCCCAACAACCATGTGGCGCTTGTAGACATTCCCGCCAATAAAACACATTTTTAGGACGCCACTAAATTCCTCAAGAATTCTCCTATTTTCTTTGCTCTCACCCATGAAACTGTCATGGTGAAAAAAGTCCTCCAGCAGTTCTGGCTTACTGCTAAAGTCAAGCAAGAAACTGACAAGACTGGTAAACCGGTGGAGAAAATCTCCTTCACCTTTAAGAGGATGACCGTTAGTTTTGGTGTAGCCACATTAAGAACCACATTCTAGCTTCCAAAGGGTCCTTACACCAGAGAACCTTCCACTAAAGACATCATCTCTTGCCTATATGATATTGGCTACGCCTGACCAACAAAGAAGGACCAACGATCTCCTCAAATCGCTCTCAAAGATTGAGAAGAACCGCATGCGGAATGACAATATATTTTTCCCATTTCATTCATTGTATGGGAAGCAAAACTGGTGGACATGACCAAGCATTCAAAGTTTCATTAAACATTGGCATTTCTATCATTCTCCAGAGACCAATCAACTTTGTTGGCGTTATCTTTGAAGACCTAGTGCTGAAGCTGAACAAACGCCAAATGGAAAATGTAGTGCCTTACACCAGATTCATGTGTACGGTGTTTGCTAAAATCTTTAGCAACAAATACCCCATAGAAGGAAACTTGGCTATCTGCAGGCCTGGGTCCAAAATCTTGGATCATAAGTCTATACCTGAAGATGTTACACTTCTCTCACTTTAGGATACCTCGCGCGGCACGCGTTGCAGTACTTATTTCATCTTCTACAATTGTGTCTGCATATCCTTCTTCTCTTGCTTCGGTAGTCAAGACTAAAGAAAACCCCGCTCAGTTTATGCCAACTACCATCACCCTCTCGTCTAAAAGATCCTCCTCTTAAACCACTCTTGGTTCTCCGTCAAGGTCCAAGAAAGCCAAAAAGGGGCTACCCACATCCCTGGCTGTTACCTCTCAACAGGTTTCAGACATTAAACCAAGTCTTATCCCCGAGTAAATTTTTGTTATAACCCATCCTAGCTCTTTAGTGATTTCTTCGGTCACTGACCAAAATCACTGAAGACGTGAATATCAGCATAGCCACTACTGAACGCCCACTTCCACCATTCTCAGACATCTTCTCTTCTCCTCCTTCTTTGGTCTCAACACATGTTATGATTCAGCAGTGATTGTACTCACTAGTGATGAAACAATCACCATAGGACCTGAGGTCGCTCCTCTAGAGATACCACAGTCAACGGAAGCCTATCCTCTCGAAGGCAACTAGGAGAGAACCAACATCAATCCTTCAGATGGTGCTGATGAGCCCTCAGGTACTCTAACAACCTACCCTTTCATTTCTCCTAACCTCGAGCTATCTTTTTCTCAAACATCTTCTTTTTCAGATCCTTCTGATGAAGACTCGATAACCATGGAAGAGGAATACAACATGGCTGACGATGTCAAGCTGATTCTTCCAGCTATAGAGAATGTCTTGATCAAAATGGGCCAAGTTCGTAAAGACATGCCTCTCAGGGATGACCTTTCTTTTGACCTCTCAATTATCAAAGCTGAAGTCAATGATGTGAAGGAATTGCTATCTGCGGTGAAAGTCGATGTTCATACTAACGTCGAGGCCATCTCTGCTCTGAATAGCAAGACTGATGAAGCATAGGCTTAGCTTACCAGGCATGGTGAGCTGATGCAACCGATACTGGATCCTCTTCAATGTCCAGCACCCAGTTCCTGAACCCTCCTTCCCCGCAGTTGATCGCCTATCGCTGGATCAAGTGCTCGAACTTGATCTTCTTCAAACTCAGTCTCTGGACAAGCTTGAACAACGATTGGATATAATTGCTAAAAGTCTTGATGATCTCACCTCTCGTTATGCTTATGACAAAGAGGAGCAGAAAGAATTACCTCAAGATGTTGTTGTCCCTACCAGCTGAAACTGATGTTGGTGCTCAAGATGAAAGAGCTTAAGCAAGTGAAGCTTCTACTGAAGTTATAGATACCATCACTTCCCGTGAAGCTAAAGTTGTTGCTGAAGCTGAGGAAAATGATGAAGCCATCAGAGTTGATGCTGAAGACGAAGACCTTCCTATAACCTCTGCAGCTAATGTTGGTGATAAGGAAGATGAAGATGAAGATGAAGATGATGACGATGAACTTGGTGATCCTCTTTCCTTTCCTGATGCTGGAAAATATCTTGGTGATGTTGATGATGAAGACGATGATGATGATGACTTCACCATTCAATACCACACCAAACCAGCCGCCGCTCAGAAAGGAGTCTCTCTCAAGAAATCTTCATCTCAGGGGGAGAAAAATAAGAAGAAAGACACGTTTGCAAAGAACCACAACACCTTTTATAAAGACAAAGGTGTTGCTGAAGAAGGAAACCTGAATGTTATTTTCAAGCCTATAAATCCTTAAGGATATGTTGAACCCTCCAGGTTTGTAGTCATCACTTCTCTCTCTTTAAACTCTCATCTACTATTCCTTTTACCACCTATGGTCATCAAGTTAAGTGGGTATCTCAGAACCCAACTTCTAGTGCTCCTAGTGATCTACAGATTACTCAGCTTAATGAGTCACTCGACCAAACTAGAGTAAAAAATCCTAATCGTACCTCTAGTTGTGGTGAGTTCGATTTTTGTACTGAAGCTGAAAGACTCGAAGCACTCAACAGACTGAGGACAATCTCAAGCTGGCCAAGTCTCTTGCCTCTCAAGTTCTTCCGAAGAAAAAGTCTAAAAAGATGATTGTTGTCAAGGCTCAAGTTAAGTTGCTCTCAATAGCATAATATGAACATCAAAAAACAATGAAACTTAAAAATCGAAACAGGAAATGGAGTGAAGATCGCAGAATAAAAGAATTAATCCATGTCGTATTTCTACCGTCACAATAAGTAATCGTAAGAAAGATGGTGGAATGATTATCTCCATGCTCATCATTAGAGACAACTTTGACACTATCATCGAGTATCATTTCTACCTTGGACAATGTGGCTACAATGAATGGTTGGAAATCCGCCAGGCCATTCAGCGCTCAAAGTCAAGGCTTAAGCCAATTATTGAAGACATCCTTAGCGAGCTGATCAAGAAAATCTCCAAATTTGTTGTTGTACCTACAAAGCCAACTTTGATGCAAGGTGGAAAAAGAAAACCTTCTGATCCTAATGATGTACCAACTCTGAGGAATGAACATGAAACAAAATTCTCCTTAGAGGAAGTCCTAGAGAATTAGAAGAAGCCAGACATCTCTATCCTGAACCTCTCATTGCCAGCGAAGGGTCCTTACATACCCAACATTGTGCATATAAAGCCTGAGTTTGGATTTATATTCCTTGACTATGAAGGCAAACACATCTTTCAAAAAGTGTCTGAGTTTGGTCTTTGTTCGATAGAACATCTTGATTATCTAAGGTATTGGTTGGACAATCTATATGGTGAGACGATAAACCGCAAGATCAGAAGAGAATTTCTACGTCGAAAGATTCTTGGAGAAGAAGTACCTGGTTACATTGACTTCAGCGACTTAGACTAGTTAAAAAATTTTATTTTTATATGTCTTTTCTTTTAGTGTACAACTTATATGTAATAAGTCTAGAAAGTACTAATGTAACACTTGTATTCCTTCTTTTGATTAATATAAGTATTTCATCAGTATCACTGAAAAAGATCCCTGAAAAGAGTATAGGGACACGTGTGTATGAATTCCAGTTTGCTCTTACATTCACTGACAAATCTTCAGTCTGTGAACATGCTTTCAGTTTCAGTTTCCCTTCTTGTACTTGTTTTTTCTTAAACTTGTAACTTAAGAAAACTTATATAGAAATAACTGTATCACCGGAAAAAATTTCCCAAAATAGTTAAAAATGACATGTACTTTACGTGTATTATACCTTAAAGAAAAAAAAATTATGTTGCTTTGTCATCATCAAATAGAGGGAGATTGTTTATCCTATCTCATTGATTTGATGATAATCCCTTTTACCCATCGAAGTATTATGTTTCTGTCTATTCAGTTTCAACGATCGTCATTGAGTCTGTTTAGTGATCGCTGAAACATGTATTGTAATCCTACATCGATAACTATTATTCAAGAAACAAAACTCACACCCAAGAACCTTCATCAAATGTCGAAGACTGAAACTGAAGATTAGTGACTAGCGCGTTCGTGATCTTAAGCGGTATTCAGTGATTACAACCTGGTCAACATGTGTGTGAAGACTACACAAGCCTTAGTGAATGTTGAATAGACCTCCAACGTCATTCCAACATTCAGAGATCAAATGAAGCTTTCCATACACGATTGTTTTTGCCTTTTCCTTCCACACACAAAGGACTAACCCATACCCTCTCTAGTGTATACTAATGCATGGATTCGATTAGTTGACTCTAGTTCCCACCAACTCTATAAAAGGATGTCTGCTCATGAATAGACAAAAGTACTATTCACTGTAGCAAAGGACAACTTTTCTTCTGAAAGCTTTGACACACGTTCTGCCTTTTCTGAATTGCATTTAATGTAATGGGTATAAATAGTTGATTTCTCTCTCCACTCATGAAAACATGGGATACAAGCATATTATAATTCCTCTCTTTAATTCTACGAAGCATACCCAAGAAGAACACACTTCTAGTCTTATCTCTTTCGGAAAATCTCTTATATTTGATAAGTGTATCTGTGTGTATCTCTAGATTGTTTTAGATAGGTTTTTCTTTACCTTGTCTATTACGCAAACAATCTATAAAAATCTGTATTGATCCTTCTCTATCAATTTATACATTTAAAAGTGAAAGTTATTGTGTTTGTATTCATCCCCCCTTCTACAAACTGATCACTTCTAAACTCTTGTAAATCCGGCTAGGACCAACATAAATCCATGTGCAATGGTTGAAGAGGAGAAGTCACTGAAGAGACTTGCTTAGATTTGAAGCAAGCCTTTGTTTTTTTTTTTTTACCTTTTCGCACGCTTAGCAAAGAGATTTCTTTGCAAAGGAGTGCTGAGGAAGGACAGTGACAAGATCCATTCAAGACAGCTCATTCAGCGTTTTGAGTTGAGATGAGAGAGGCATTTGTACCATAGTCAGTTGATATATGAAGAGGTTTTAGGGAGAAAACAACCATTCTTAGTGAAGGTAGAATCCATGTTGATAGATGAGAACATGTAAGAGCAAGGTTGTCATCTTTGTCATAGATATAACATGAGTTCTTAAGAAACTTCACTGTGAAATTTTTATCACATAGTTGACTGATGTTGAGAAGATTGTGCTTCAATCCTTCAACATATGCAACACATCTGAAGGTGGTTGCACCATTGGTTAATATACCAAAACCCTTGGTATATCCTTTTCCATTTCCTCCAAAGTTTACAAAAGGGCCTCTTTGATCCCTGTAACCAGTGAGTAGGGATTTGTTTCTAGTCATATATCTTGAACATCCACTATCAAGATATCAAAGGTCTTTGACTTCCTACAAAAGAAAACAAATTAAGATTGCTTTAGTACCCATTTCTCAATAGGTCCAGCGAAGTTAGAGGTGACATTCACTGACGCTGAAGACTTAGGGTTAGTAGGTGTCTTCACTAAGCCTGAAGAAGAGGCTTCAGTGGAATTCTTCACCATAATCGTTTCCACAACTTTTGGTGACAGACTTTTCCTTGCCTGATTTTTCAGCCTTAGCTACTTTCTTTACCTTAGTTGGCAGACCAGATTTTGTAGCAAAATGACACTTACTAGGAATATGTAAAGTTTCACCACACTGATGACACTTCCTATAGCTGAAGACAACTTTAGGGCCAGAAGTGTCAGAGAGAATATGTCACGCCCAGAATTTTTTTTTTCTTTCGTGCGATTGCCGTGTCGTCATTCTTAATAACCTATGTCATGAACAAAATACGAACTTAAATTTTCAAATATACATAATGTGTTTAACATAAACCGTTACATAATTGCGGAAGCGTAAAATATTTTAACGTAATCAATGCTAATTAAAATATCTAATCAAGCATGATTCAAAACATAGTCTCATCTTTCTTCATTCAACTTGTTTACAAACAAATGACACCTGAGATACTCACTTACGGTGGACAAATCTTGCCGAATCATACTAGTTGCATATCATTTATTTGTAATACTCACTTATTAATACAAATCTTAATATGACATGCAACATATATCTCATGCAAGTGATAACATAAATCACACATGCATCATCGTCATCTTTCATATTATACACATACTTGAATATCATCCTTATAATACCAAGTCATCAAAATCTCTCTCAGCGAAATTATCTTTCATATCATGCATATACTTGAATATCATATAAATATATACAATGAAGTTATCATCATATGCATATAAACACATCATGCAAATATCATGGATAAAATACTTTGTAATAATCATGTATATATCCCATAAAAATCGCATAATGTACTCACCTTGAATCATGAACGTTCGATAGGTCGTTCTCTCAAAAACCGCAACCTTTATGATAATTCATACCATTCCTAAGCACCTTAGGTAATCGAAACTAAAATGATCATTATTCTCCAACAATCTTAGCACGACTAAACTTGACAATTATTATTGATCAACCACCGATACAATCATATATCAAGTGTAACATCCAATTTCTAATATGCCAAATTATTTGCTTAGTATATTTAATTATTGGGTTAAATAGAACTTATGATTTAGTAGGAGTTTGGGTCTGAAGTTTTAGAATTTTATTTCTTAAGAATATATTAGAGGATTTGGAAAATATCACGTCAAATAGATACGTAAAACGGATTTTCTGGGAGATCTTTTCTGGAATATTTTTATTGGATGTTATAGATTTTCTCTTTATGAACATGTAGGCGAAAACCTCATAGAAAACAGAGGTCCGAGCGAAAAGTTATGAATATTTTAAGTGTTGATAGTCAAAATGGGTACCTAGCCGGGCCAACCCGGGTCCAACTCGAGTTTTAGCATTATAAATTGGATTTTTTTGGCCCATTTTTTATGTCATCTAAGTCAAGAACTCACACACACACTAGAGGTAAGATTTTCACACACATAGGCTCGATTCAACTTAAATCAAAGAAGAACTACAAGATCTTTGAACGATTTGATCATCAAGTAAGTTATAATCCATTCTTTGCACTTGTTCTTGATTGACATTCTTGTTATATGGATTGCATGTTGAGTTAGAGTTAGGGTTTCATATGGGTTTGATCTTAAGTGTATAAAATAAGCGTATTTTAGTGTTTATGGCATGAAATGGTCATTAGATTCAAGTGATTATCGAGATTTATGCAAGTTCATCATATGAACTTTGACTTGATTAAGTCAATGATTTGGGAGATAATATAAATGATAAAATAAAGGTTGGATTTTGGTTGTTTATGTCAAATATGTTATATTAAATTGAGATTCAGA